ACTACGGTAAAACTGCTGATCATGGTACCTTCAAGGAGTAAACACGGGGTAAAGTTCCAGTCAGATGACTTACACTCCCAAATTTAACTGTTTCTTGAAGAAGTTTCTCGAATGTTCTCGTCTTATTCACTTTTATGCTCTAAAGGCTCGAAGAAGGGCATAGCAGTGGGTCTCCAGGCTTGCTGCATGGAAACAGCTGGCATCTTGTGATCATGTCCTAATGTGCACAGTGGCACTCAAACAGTCCCAGGGGTTACAGCGTGGAACTCTGGGCCATAGTCTCACCTTCATCCCACCGCCACCAGGGCTCAACCAACTCACACGTTTCTGTCCACAGGACAATTACAACCCATCTGCCCCGTTAGTGTTTCCTAATATTAGCACTTCTCTGTCAGCACTTGTTATTTTCCACCAGATGTTCCTGCTACCACTATGTCAACTGTCCTTGGAACTAGGGACTTCTTACAGAAGTGTGCTTTGGGGAAGAAAGAATAACCCAAATACACATGGGCCCTTCAGAAAGAAATATCGCCTCCTAGTGGCCCTTCAAGATACCACCACATAACAAGATTATGCTCTATTCTAGACATGGAGGCTAATTCCAATTTGTTCAGCCTTATAAGCCAAAAGAATAATAGCCAAGAACTTCCCACCATGCAAAAGTACATTAGAAAACAAAAACAAACACCAGAAATTCCTCCTCACCTCCCAACACTGAGTGGCAGGGCTTGTGAGTACCAACTTCATCCTCCTTCAGAAACAGCAGCAGCATGTGACTAAAAGGACCACATGCGGCATCACTCAAGACAACGTATGACAACTGGAATTCCTGTCTTTCTGCAACTTGTACAGGGACTGCAAAACCAAGTGCTTGAAAGTGCTTGCATTTCTAAACTTCGAAACTCCCCACACAATTCTTCCCTGGCTCCAGCTACTTGCCAGAAGTGAAACCGTGAAAAGAACAAAGGCGACTCCACTCACGGAGGAGGCGTGGAAGAACCCATCCTTTTCTCAGTGTCTGCAACGGCTGTGCCACGCCGAGCTGGGAGATACAATTATCTTATGTGAAAGCAAGTTACTACCATCATGTATCCACGGTCAGAATAGAAAATGAAAAAGAAAAAAAGACAGGGAGCGGGGGTGGGCGTGGGGGGAGGTATCAAGCTCTTATTCTGCAAGATTACGGAACGCCTGATACAGGATGGACCCCAACAGTCCATCAGCAAAGAGACAAGACTCTTATCGCACAGCTGTAACAATGGCTTGGCATGAAACCCATTTCCCAAGCTTTCAATTAATATAAAGGAACATATATTTAGAATGGCAAACAGATTAAGAGTTGGGAAGAGGAAATACCACAAGTTCCTGCTATTTCCTAAAATAGAGCAGGCGCGCACATACACTTCTCCTGTGAGAATAACATACCTGAGTTTGGTACAGCTCATTGGTCAGCCACATGGACAAAGAACCAAAACATCACATCCCAAAAAAGCATCTCAATTATTCACTCCCATGTAAATGGCTGCTCCCCGCTGGAATCAAAAGTGAAAATTTGGACTAAATGTCTCTCGGAAATCACTATGATTTACTAAAAGGGGCTGTGTTGTGTTTTAAGCACTTCCGACTTAAATTTCATGGCCAGAAGAATGAGACTTAAGGCAACAATCTGAGAGTGTGTTAACTGTAACACACATGGTAAGGCCAAGCGCTAGAGCCTACTTGGAGAACTCAGATAAAAGACTCCGATGAACCAAAAATCAGACAGGATTATTTCTTAAGGTTTTTGTTTGTTCATCTATTCAACCAATAAAGCAGGACAGAGGTGGAGCCTCTGCTGTGTGTGCGACAGGAAACAGCAAGACCTGCCCCTGAACTCCTAGAGCTGGCATGGAGAAATTCTTCCAGCCTTGGCTTCTGCTCTTCCCTGTATGCAGCCTCCCCTTCTCCCCAGTATCAGCATAGCACAGTGGTGGCCCTATGGTGCCTCCTGGGTGTTGACTCGTGCAGTGTCCTCTACCTGAGCTACACTTCCCAGTTCTCTAGAATCACACATTGCTCACCTCCTACCAGTCTACCCTAGCTAGAGAGGCTTCTCTGGCCACAGGCAGTTGTCCTCAGAGTGACCCTCTCTACCTTAGCCACACCCCTCTTTAACTCAGCCACGCCCCTCTACCTCAGACATGAAGGTTTCTTTCCCTGGTCCTTAACCTGATACCATCTTTCCTCATTGCTCCCTCACTTTTTATCCATCTCCACAATTCAGATGGAAACTCACGTCCATATAGGCTGGATCTCAGTTTCCCGAAAGTTGCCTGCAATATTAACAGAAGACTGACAAACACCTATTTATGAAGAACAAATATGGGGAGTGTTCACACTTTTGTATTGACACCACAGTGTTAGGCTCCTCACAGCTTATAGAAGGAGGATGAGGAAGAGGAGTAACCTCCACATATGATCACGTCAGGCTATATAACGCAGCGTGCTCAAATGCTAGCCTTAGCACCACCTAACCTCTACAATTTATTCTGCTTCCAAAATCACTCTTAACAGATGCCAAGGACAAATATTTTTAAAAGCATCCTTCCCTTAAGAGTTGGCAGTGATCCTTTCTCTAGCAATAAAGGTGTGAAAGCAATTGCTTCACATTAAAGTAGAAGCCAGTGGTGACCAATCACAGAAAGCACAGACTTTATCCTAATGACAAGCAAATTTTCTGGAACACACACACACAAAAAAAACCTGTCCTGTCTTCAATTTAATAAAAGGTATAAGCCTTCACTGCATATTCAAAGATATTTCTTTTAAAGACAGGGTCTCATAATATACCCCTGGCTTGGCACTCAGTACGTAACCTAGGCTAGCATAGAACTCAGAGATCCACCCACCTCTGCCTCAGGGGTGATGGGATGAAAGGCTCCACACAGGGCCTGGTGGATTATTCTTATAATTGCACATTTGTTACTTTGTGTTGTCATTAGGGGGATGGCTTTCGGTCCTGGCCATCATAGCTCACATTTCACAGCAAAGATGCCACAAATCCCCACGGGTCACTTAGGAGTCATTAAAGTAGAGGATGTGCACTGGGCAGAGCAGGCCTCCACTTCCTGCAATGGGAAGACGGATCTTTGGGCCCAGGGAATAACTTAAAAGCCTCCAAAAAAAAAAAGTGCTTTACAATAATCTCACAGCAAGATATCAGAAAGAATATATATACCTATCAAGAAAGAGAAGCTTAAGTAAGGTTCATCCTTAATGGAGTTCTCAAATGCTGTGTCAGAGGCAGAGGGAGGCGGCTCCCTGGGGGGCTGGGGGGGGGCTGGAGACTGTCAGGACTCAGGACTTCCTGGAGAGGCGAAGAAGCTGGTGCAGAACAGTGCATGCGAGTATCCCAGTCAGTAGGAAGACAAAAATAGTGGAAAATGTTACCATGCATTGGGCTACATCCAGAGAGAGACAAGAGCCAGTAAGCTGGTGCTTACTGATGCTACAGGGGCGTGGTGGGAGAGAGATGTGCCCTTTACTCTGAACTACCTACTGAATCTTCTCTAATGCGAGGAGGCGTCCCACAAATTAATACGGTAACATCTTCACACGATCATGTATACTATTTCCGACACCGTCCTCAAAAAAAAAAAAAATGAGTCTTCAGTAGCAAAAGTTTTAAGACCTCAGGAAATTTTCATTTGGTTCTTTAACCACAGTCCCCGAGTCTCATCTCCCAGAGGAGATGCCAAGTCTCCACTAACTGGAGCAGAGCAGCTTGTGATCTCACCTATTACCAAGCAAATACACCTCAGTGCAACTCTGGCAGAGCAAATAGCTGCTCTGGCCTCCTTGAAAATACACCTCATGCTGAAACTGACCTTAAGGCTCTTCCAGGATGCCTCCAGATGAATAGTTTCCACCTGGCTGTAAGACAGAAAAGTCAGGGAAAAAAACAAAGAGCACAATCTAGTGTTTTTTTAAAAGCACAGGCTATGCTGAGATTTGCTTCCCCCTGCTAGGCTTACCCTAGGAGCCTCCGTTCCTAGTGGTGACTTCAGATCTGTGTCAAGATAATCCTGTAAGGGGAGGGGACAGCATCCCTTGCAGTAAACAAAAGCTTTAGGTTTTCACTGGTGGGGGGGGGGGGTGCGATGCTTTAAATATAATGTGGGCACCGCTTTTGAACTCCTGACTAACTTAAGTCACATCAACTCTAAGCAAATATTATTTGCTGAATTAAATATGTAAGTGAAGGCATTGGATGGCAAGGTATAAGCTGAAAAAGTTCTGCTGAAAATTATACTCTAAAGACACATAAAGTAAATGCAAAGACTGTATTCCCATATAATTGTCAGTCAATAACAGCGCACAAGTGTCCTATCAGAATCTGACGGCATTAAGCACACCTACGAAAAGCGATGCAAAGATAACACTAGTGTAAATGAAGGACTCATGTTTTGGCAGCTGGAGGTGGGATCCAGAATCACATTACCCAAGCTCCCGTGTAAGTTCACAACACTTGCTGTGCAGTTTTCTGTGCGTCTGGATTCACGAGCCCAGCTTTGTGCTTTAGACAACACACCAGGAAAGCCATCCATCAGGAAGCCTAACTTTGCTCGCCTACATTTTAACTTGGAGTTTAATAAGTTTAGCGCCTTCGGACACAGGCACCTAGAAATACAGACAGGTCAAGTCAAAGGCACCATCAAAACAGAAAGGACGAGAAACTATTTTCCTAAAGCACTGAGGTTTAAGAGCAAGAAACCATCTGGCAGGTCGCAGCTCCGAATGGGGAATTAAAGGTCCTGCCCATCCCCCTGGTAACCTCTGGCCTCAGAACTCACTGCCCTTCGCGCCGCACAAGTTTCGCGCGGTGCAGCCCGCGTGGGCGCGGACTCCAAGGTTGACCCTCGGCTGGCACGGACGGCGCGAGCCCGAGCGGCGCTGCCCCAGAGCCGGGGACGCGCCCCCCGCACGCGCTCCGGGCTGCCGCGCCGCGCCCCCGCACTCACCGGCCGCTCCCGCGCCGCTATCTTGCCATCCCAGTCGGCCGCCGCCCCGGGGCAGCCCGGACCCTGCAGCCAGGGACTGCAGTCGCGAAGGAACAGTCGGGCAGCAGCCGCCGTCCTAGCGCCCCTGTCCCCTTGCAGACCGGCTTCAGCGGCCACCGATGACGGGCCGCCGCTGCCTTCTCACAACCCCGCGAGCCACCGCAGCGCCAGGCGACGATAACGGCCGCGGCTACAGCCGAGACGCTCCGGCGCGGACTGCGCGCCCGGAGGCGGCGCCTGCAAGGAGCTTGGCGGGGGGCGCAGCACCCAGGCCCCGCCCAGGCCCCGCCCCGCGCGCCCCCGTAGCCCTCCCCCCGCCGGCCCCGCCGCGCGCACGGGGGCGCGGGCCCGCGAGGGTGCGCGTGAGTCGGAGCCGCTCGGTCGCGCGCGGGCCCGGCGCCCAGGGAGGTGCCTCTGCCGAGACTCGGGTCGCGCGGCCAAGCCTCGCAAGGTCACCGAGCGGCGGGCGAGAGCGCGGCGGCCCTGCCGGTGCAAAGCCTCTGGAAAGGCCAGCCCAGGCGGCCCTGCGGGAAGCAGCGCGGCTCCCAAACTGCTGTCAACTGCGCTTTGCAAGCCTTGCATTGAAAAAGGAAACTGGTCTCTCCGAAAAGGCACACGGAAGCCTGTTTGCTTAGATTTTTTTTTTCCCCGATTTTGTGAATTGCCTAAACTGCCCCAAGGCCGAAACGCTGTCACTCAGTTCCCCTACGTTCTTGGTGAGGGGACCTCTCAGCTCCTGAGGGCTTGCGGGGGCATCTGAGAACATCCTGGAGCCATCTAGTCGTGCCTCCGAGGCGTGGTGGGCTTATTTGTGCAGAGAAGAAACGGATCCCTTAACGGGGTGAGATTTTTTTTTTCCTCCGTGCATTGTTCCCATTTCCGCAGTTTCACTTGGCCTCGGTGTTCCTCCAGAGTAATGCACCAAATGAAATTGGTAGGAGTGTTTTATGGCGCAGAGTCGTGGTTTGAAGATGTTTACGCTCTGTGCCGGACGCGTTTGATGGTGTTCTCTTTAGCACAATTAATTCTGCAAAGTTCAGAAATGTGCCAGACAGAGCCACTGGCACGCAGTCACATGGCTGTGCAGACACACCTTCCATAGGGAGCTGCTTGTTTGTTTTCAGCTGTGATTTTTCTGGTGCGCCAAGGCCAAGGAGTTTGTGAGAGACCTTTGACTGAAATTCTAGACTTTAGAATCTACAGCAGTTTGCAAATTGTCAGGATGAAGCTTAGTTTCTAAAATAAATATCCCCCCCATTAATAATGTAACTCCAAAATGAGCAACAAGACACCTGAACATATACTGCGTGAAAAATAAATTCTTAATACTATCTTTCAAAATTAAGCCACTAAGGGTATCTGAGTGGCCAACTGCATTAAAGTGTATATTAAAATGTATATTTCCAACACTAAGTGCCTCCTGCTGTCCTTATGGCTGTTTCCGGGCTGTGTGCTGAACCCTCCCCCATTTAAGTTGGACCATATTGCTTTTTCTTTATCCTCATTCCTTCCCACAGCTTGAGAAATTTATTTATTCATATTGAAGAATTCTGTCTTTTCCATTAGACACAGCACCTATGGCTCAGAGAACTTTCAGGAGCCAACAAAAGTATTTTCATTTGTTTTCAAGTCAGAAGAAAAAAACAGATTCAAGTGTTTCAATATAGATTACTATTGCTGTTTTTGTACCTAAGGTAAACAAAATAAGAATGTTTAAGTTTAATAACTAAAGAGACTCAAACATATCAAGAGTCCATGAAAATCATGGCACGGCCTTGTTGCCAGGACCTAGCATCCTTTTTCATGGAAAAAAAAAATTAAACCTCAGACAAGACAACAAGATTTTCACCTTGCGTAGAATGCTGACATAGAACGCTGACCTCGGTGGCCTTGCTCTCTTGACATGCATTTGCTACTTGATCCTCATAGCACACCTGTGAACTGGGTTCTGTTCCCACATGTAGGAGCAGATGCAAGTTTCGTGGGGCCTGAAATTTATGCAGTTTGGGTGGCCCTCTTAAAAGAAAAAAAACAAAACAAATGAGAATATCTAACATGGTCCAGCACCACTCAGCGCCCGGTAGAACAAAGAGGCAGAGCAGCTGGAAAGAGACCTCTGTCTCAGGCATAGTGGTTAAGTTACCTTACGTTTACAAATTGTACAAGCACATGATCATATAAACACATTGCCTAGGTGTTCTTCTATGGGGACAGAGAAAAGCTACCTGGAAAAAAAGCTCACGCATCACAGAAAAACCTACTTCTTTCACAGGAAAGAGCTTGGGAAGTTGTCACAACTTGTTGGGTTCCGTAATACCTCCTTTACACTGTCGAATGGTTAGAAGAGATGCAGTATGCACACTTCTCCACACAAAATAGATAGTATTTGTTAGAAAGAAACCAATTTTAAAATAACATTAGCAATATTGGATGGGACTGGTCCATAATTCACGTGAAGGTATCTGCTAAGACTCTTCAATCAGTGATGGCCAGAGTAAATTCTTTTGATCCTCTTGTGTAAAAAAAAAAAAAAAAAAAAAAAAATGTAAATTAACCAGTATGGATTCCTAAAGGAGTTACAGATCAATTGCCAGTGCTGTGGATGAAGCCCATTTCTGTCTACCTTTTCTGGAGCCAGTGCATTCTTAAATATCATGCTATGTAGTGTCTTCAAATTGCATTTTCGTGAGATGCTATAATGTTTGTTTGCTATTTAAATTGCATAATACAACAAGCCTGACACATCTTCATAAACGTCCGTCAGATAAATAATGACATCGAGATAATAAATAGCAGAATTAGAGGTAAACATGTCAGTTATTTGACGAGCTGAAATGGAGTAGGCATCGAGGCAGTGAGATACCAAAGTGTAACACTCGATGGTTTCTTCTCATTTCATTACTTTGTGTTAAAGACTCATAGTCTTCTGCCCAGCAATTGGCTAGTCTCCCTGCCTTGTGTTTTATTTATTCCTCCTCTTCCTCCTCTTCTTCTTTCTCTTCCTCCTCCTCTTCTTCCTCCTCTACTCTTCTCTATAGGATTTTTTTTTTAAATCATGATGATAACCCATAATAAACATCCTGGGATTAAAAGGCTTTGTCCTTCTCAGGAAAAAAAAAAAAAAAGCAGCAGTAAAACTGAGAAGACGGGAGGTTTGTTTTTGAATCTCAGCATCTTGGCCCTTCAGACAGCTGCTCTTGATGAATGACCTCATATGTATAGAACTTGTCACTCAGCAAGACAAGAAAGGTATGCTGTATTCCTGGAAGAAAATGCTGGAACCAGATAAGAATCTACTAATGAAGCACAGTTATTCACTGGCAAATGGGTGAAACGGGCGAAACCCCTCCTCATTTTAAGCTGATGAATGTAGATTTAAATTGGTTTATTTCAGAGCACAGTTTTGGACAAGATTCAAAGCTTTAATTAGATTCCTGTAAGAAGACATATAAGGCTAATCAGCTCATTTGCTCTAGATTTGATATTCTTTCCCCAAAGTGATTTGGACTGCTATTTAAGGGACATGTTTTTTTTTTAAAAAAAAAACAAAACAAAAAACACGATAAACACCATGAAACTAAGTATCTTCCCAGAATCCTGTCTAAAATATATTCTCTTTCAGATAAAATGATTTCCGGAGTATCACATAAAATATGTGGGTAACTCATTACATCTCTAGCATGGCACTGACCGAAATGCATTTTGTTTGTCTTCTGATTATTTGTACTGTGCTTTCTTCCAAAAAGGAGTTTACATGGAAAGACAAACATTAATAATAATAATCCACCTGGGTGAGGCTAATAATTGGATATAAATACCAAATTAAACTCCAAGCTTCCCCCTAACCATGAAGTCGGGGAAGTGGGTGTTCCTATAACTGTCACTGTCTAGTACAGAAAAATCAGTCTCATTCAGGGGAAAGTTATTCTTGGGCCACAGTCTGTAAGGAACCTCATCAAAGGAGTATTTATATGAGGAATATACAGAAGTCTAAGGTAAGAGAGAGTCCTCAACCCAGAATTTTGGGCCAATGTTTTATACAAGCAGAATGCGCGCACACACACAAACACACACACACACACAGATATTTTGCTAAAGAGCTTGAGAATTGCTATTGTTGAAAGTCAGAGTTTTGTTTTGTTTTCTCACTGGCCACTGAAACCCAACTAAATGCAGCATCAAGTCTTTTTGCCCAGTCTCCTTCTCTGAAATGGAAGTAACTAAAAGCAATGAGCTTTGGAGGGTTGTGGGGGAGAAAGCACTCAAGTGACTTCATTGCTCTAAAACCACACATCGATGTGTCGATTTTGCTATAGTTTCCTTACCAGGTGTTTTTATTTTCCTACCCACAATGCATTGCCTTTAGTGCACACCGCGGCATCGTCCTTTGGTGAAGATGCATGGCATATCTGCATCATACACAAGTGATATATACATGCTACGAATCGCAGCATCATTTTCCTTTTAGATTAACGCACCATCTGAACGCAGAGGGGCTAGGTGGAGTAGTGGTTAGAACAGCCAGCTGTCCAGAGAGGGCAAAGCCTGAGGGTACGTGAGGCCTGAGTGGGTATGGCTGAGATACCTACAGAATATTCTTCCTACACTTCCTCTTACTGTTTGCTATCACCTGGAGGCACCTAGAGACCAGTCTAGTAGGTCAAGCATTTAAACTGGGGAAAGTTAACTGCCTCAGGTTGTTAAAGCTAAGTTCCTGAGCCAGAAGCCTAAGCTTAAGATTCATTGGGGAAAAACAGCAAGCTGAGGAAGCCTGTGAAAGGAAAGCAGGATAACCTTGGGGAATAAACCCTTCCTGTCTTTCCTCATCCTTTCTTCCTTTCCTCCAGGGTTCCGGTCTGATTGGAATCTTCGTTTCACATCCTTCCTGTTCTTCTTAACAATCTTGATTTCTGACCTACCTCTACAGCTGCTTCCTTCCTTCCTTCCTACCTTCCTACCTTCCTTCCTTCCTTCCTTCCTTCCTTCCTTCCTTCCTTCCTTTCTTTCTTTTCTTCCTCCCTCT